GGTCCGTACTCCGTTTCGATTCGGACCTACGAAATGAAGAGCGAATCGCCGACATGGAACTGCGTTATGGGGCCACCTTCAGTGTCGTGGGAGGTGAGTTATAAATGCTCATACTATTTGCCTGGTTTGAAACAAACCAAACATGTTGATGCACGCACCCTGAGTATAGACATGTCAACGCTTTTAAGGATTCCGACTTTTGCAACTGTTAATTCCTTTAAGTATATTTTAAACTTCGGACTTTTTGCCTCTGGTCTGAAGTAAAGTTCACAGTTTTGCATTTTCTTCTTAGTAAGACGATCCCCCTGTGACTAATATTTGATTTGTAAAACATGAACTATTGATGACGGTGATGTCAATGACATATGGTCTACTTTTTAAGCAAGCCAGATGGCACTAATTTAAGGACAAACTGTTGTAGAGAAGCTGACTAACAAAGCTAATATTTCCCATGGCAACCGACAGGATAGCGGTCCTTGGCTTAATTTCAGGCCGTTGGACTCGTTAATTGGAGGTCCTGCCAAGCTCAGGGTGGGCATTGCTCTTTTATTACGACTGATTAGCCTGAAATAATTATCAAAGTCCCCCATCTCTACCTCAGTAATCCCTTCTATATGTATAGAATTCCTTTTATGCATGACGCAGCAGAACTCCCTCGTTTTATGTCATGCTTGAAAACTTTGCCCAATCAACTCTGCTTTGGCTGTCAGCTTTGGTAATAACATTAACTCGCGTCGTCCGATGGGGTCTCGCAGCTCAGAGGGTTAGAGCGTTGGCGGTACTAAAGCCTCCTGTTAACGTCGTGGATTCGAATCTTACCGAGGCACCGAGGTTTTCACAGTTGGTTCGAAGTGAATAATAACCTTAACACGCACCATGTTTCAAGTCTTACTGACAATTGTCAGTATAGGTACATTTTCCCTGCACCTAATTCTCCCAATAGACTGGGTCGAGTTGTGGAGTGTTGGAAGTTCTGTTGAAAATCGATCGCTCAGTTAAATCTTGCGCATTCCATTTTATTTGTTAGGCTCATTGGCTACTTAACAACGAACACCATTCAGGTCTTTGTCCAGCAGATCGATGACACTCTGCACCAAAGCAGTTTCACTTGCAAACGAGTCATTTAACATATATGTGCCGTTCACCCACTTCCGTTTTTCTAAACTTTTAAATCTGCCTTTCATTTGCACCTGATATTTTTTCTTCACCGAAGAGAGTATTTTCGTAGTTGGAGGACAAACTACACAGCAGATTGGCTCAGCGCGTGTCGATGAGTTCCTCGTGAAGAGAAAATGCTGGCGTAAACGGGCACCCCTCGTCGTTCGACGTCGAGATCATGCAGCCGTCGTCGTAAAGGTTGAGGCGGGGAATAAAGAAGGGGAAGAACAAACCCTGCTTGGCGTTTTTGGTGGATCCCTTAAGGAGGGGGACACTTGGCTAAACCTTCCCTGTTGTGAATTGTATGAAGTGAGTAAGGACAGGTGAGAACTCTCAGGATGCATTGCAGTTACTTTTGAAAAGCCATTTTCTTTTTTTAATTTTCATTTATACCATCTTCCGTCTACAACCCCCCCCCCAGGTGGTACCAGTTGCCCAATCTGGGGGAAAGGAGGTGCGGCCCAGCCGCGGCGTCATTGCCCGGCGATAATCGAGTCTTCGTCTTCGGCGGTCGAGGTGACTCCTCTGTGAGCGCGTCCGTGGAGTTCTGTCAGCTGCGTGTAGGCTGGCAGGAGAGAGTGACCTCCGAGGGCTCTGAAGCATTTTGGCAGCCAGCTGCTCCCATGGGGACTGCGCGGGCATTTCTCACAGCAGCCCCCTTTAGGGGAAAAATAATCGTCGCCGGGGGGTGGAACTG